GACATACTTGTCTTTTCAGATAATCCTGAGCAGCATTGTTACGATGTTCATTCCATCCTGGAAAGGTTATGAACAGAATTCTTGGGTTACATCTTTTCCCCAGAAGGCATCAAGATGAATCCCCAGAAGGTGGAGGCTGGCTGCAGATGGGCCATGCCCAGGACCCACTAGGAGTTACAGTGCTTCCTGGGCTTTGCAAATTTTTACTGATGGTTCATTCCAGGCTTCTCAGGACAAATAGCCCCCATTACCAACCTCATCCGCAAGGCTGCCAAAGTTGTTTAAACACCCAAAGCTCACAATTCTTTCAAATAGCTCAAAGTTGCCTTCACCACTGCTTCCATTCTAGCACACCAGCACCCAGCCCAGGTGTTCATAATGGAAGCTGATGCCTCCAAGGTGGCCACTGGGGCCATACTCTCTCAGAGGTATAGTCCACAGCAAGTGCTGTGCCCCTATGCCTACTACTCCTGAAAACTCACCCCTGCCAAACAGAATTATGAAATATTAAATAAGGAATTACTTGCAATTGAATTCGAAGAGTGGCACCATCGCCCACCCAGTGCAAGTTTTTTCTGACCATGAGAACCTTGAATATCTATGGAAGGCTCAAGCCTTGACCCAAAGGCAGCTCAGATGGGTGTTATTCTTTTCTCCATTCAATTTTGTCATCACCTATTACCTGGGAACCAGGAATGGGAAAGCCAAAGCCTTATCCTGAAAGGGGAAATTCCACCAAGGGAGCAAGGAGCAACCAAGAACCATCCTTTCTCCTAAAACTTTGCAACTTCCTTAGTGCCATAATATGCCAAGACCTGCTTGATCTAATCTGATCCACTTCACGGCGCAATCTGTTATCTCAGGAGGTGATGGAACAGCCTGAGCAAATGAGAGCCAGAACCAAAATGCAGTGCTCCACACAGGATGGGATCACCAACATCAATGAGTGCATATATGTTCCACCAGGGCCCCCTGGCTAGAAGTGCTCCATCTCTGCCATGACACTTCATGGCAGGCCACTTTAAGACTTTCCACATGGCTTTCTATTTCTTCTGGTGGCCCCATATGTGAACTGAAGTCCAGGACTATGTTGATTCCTGAGCTGTGTGTGCCCACTAAGATATCAAGTTTTAAGTCTGTTGGTGCCCTAGCACCTCGGAGAGCCCGCCTAGATTCTGGGCTTCAATCATGATGGACTTCATAGTGGAAGTCCTTGACTCTGATAGCCACACTGCGGTCTTGACTGCTGTAGACCAACTGACCAAAATGGTGCATTTCATTCACTGCGACAGCCTGCCCTCTGCTGAAACAATGGCTCAATTCCTGGTGGTTCAAATGATCCATCTTTGCGGGCTTCCAGACCAAAGCCCACAGTTTGTTTCATGCTTTGTGCATGAAGTGGTCTGGCTCATGGAAGTTCGCACTTTTACCTCCTCCTTTTATCTTTCACCCCCAGACAGATGAGCAGACAGAGAGGGTGAACCAAGAATTAGAGCAATGCCTAAGATGTGTTTTCAACTACCATCAAGATAACTGGTTCTCCCTCCTTCCTTACTCCAAATTCTCATACAATGCCAACCACACCTCCATGGGGCAGAGTCCCTTCTTTGCTAATTATGGGTTACACCCTTGCTTCCACGCAGCCTTGCCAGCAGCTTCCCTGAACCCAGCAGCTGCTGACTGGATCCAGCAAATTCACCATATCCAGGAGGAGCTTAAGGACCACCTCAAAGATGCAAAATGGGACTATAAAGTGGTACACAAACCATTGACTCCAGGAAGGCTCAGCTCTCATAGTAGGCCAAAAGGTCTGACTTGCAGCAGAACACCTCCATACAAACAAGACATCTTGCAAGTTAGACCACCAATTCAGCAAATAAAACCCATCACCTTCAAATTGAAGCTCTCTTGAGCTCTTAAGACACATTTTCCACATATCCCTGCTGAAGCGTTATACAGAGGACCTCTTTCCCAATCAGTCCCAACAGCTACCCCGCCAGTCCAGGTCCATGGGTATGACGAATATATAGTCCATGTTATCCTCAACTCTAAACTGCAGAGAGGCAGACTGTACTAACTAATTGACTTGGGGGAGGAGGGGCTATGATCCCAAAGAACATTCCTGGGAGCCCACTGCCCAAGTCCATGCCCCTGACCTAGTAAAAAGGTTTAATCTAGACCACACAGATAAATCAGGCCCAGCACCCACCTGGAGGAAGGGTGCCCCTGAAGAGGTGTGTAACTAGGATGCAGGGATTAGAACCTTGGTCTGGAGATCCTGGGACAGTTGATAGTCCCACAGTGCCCCCAGGTGGCCATGCCAAGCCACAGACAGTGAGTATTGTAAAGAGTAGGCACCACAGGAAGCCCAAGAGATCCAGAGTAACAGAACCTGTGAGCCTCTGATTGGCCAAGTGCCCTATTTAACCCTGGAGTGTGCCCCACGAAGTTGTCTTGGCAACCACACAGACTTTGGGTCTGCTGCGACTCCAGACCTCACCTTGTCTCTTGGTCTCTGGCTTCCGTTCTCAGCCTGACTCTGATCCTGATTCCAGCCTCATACTACCTTTGATCTCCAGTCTCCTATATCAGACTGATTTTGACCATGACTCTTGCTTATTGAACCCAGCTCTAGTGATTCCTCCAACCCCTGCTCACCAATTACTGTCCCTAATGTACGGACCACAGTCCAGCTGTGACTGCTAGGCCAGACCACCTACGCCCAGGTCCCTTACACTAAAAACCCTCAGAGTGAGCAGTAATAAAACCAAGCAAATATATATATATATATTGGATTTATTTAGAGACTATTCAGTGTTCAACTCAAACGGGGAAAAGAAAGGATTGTATACAACAAACTATTAGAATATTCTATTTAAAGCAAACTATAGAAAGGAAAATGCCTAAAAAAAGAAAAGGCAAACTACCAACTAACACTTCTAAGTAAATTAGACACAACCAGAGAGAGAGATCTCACTGTCATGGTTATTAGGTGCACAGTCAGAGTGTTCCTGCTCTCTCAGTAGAGTCAAGTAAGTCAGCTTATATACAGCTGCCACCTTCCGAATTTACCCTCCAGCTGACACCCCCACAGAACTCACCCAGCAAATTTCAAAAGTTGAAAGAAAATAAGGGGGTTGACCTCTTTTTTTATCCCCCAAAACAGCCTTCCTGATGTCCTTGATTCTGCAAACTCTATCACATCCCACGTCCTCTTCTTTGCCATAACATCCTACACCACCTCTGTTCCAAAATGCTCAGGTCTGCCTAACAGATATATTTTAGGCATCTGTTTTTCAAAGGAGATAAGTACTTTTTCTTTAACAGGGTATTATATTCTTTCTAGTTCTGCTTAGTATTGTGCAATAGTGTTGAGCAATGTGCTTGGAAGAGTAGTTCTCCAATTTTTTCAGACTATTGACCAGTGAAAGAAGAGGGCCTCTTGTGTTCAATCTCCTCTACCAACTCTCTAGATCTCCCACTGCTTGTTTCTCTAATTTTGTTTCATTTTATGGACCATCAGGAAGGTTTCTATGGACCATAGTTTGAGAACCATGATTTATGACAAGTTTTAGCAAATTGTAGGAAACTAATCAACTTTCTTGCAATTTATGATATGGTGATAAATTTTATTCCTTCTGATAACTTCACTATGCGCAAAATCAAATTGACTTTTAAGGTTTTTACATAGTTTTTACGCTGATACAATTATTTCCATTAGGGGTGTGATATTTGGTTTGTTTTTTAACTGAAATAGTTATACAGGTACAAGCTTAGGGTACGTCTTCACTACGGGGGGGGGTCGATTTAAGATACGCAAATTCAGCTACGCGAATAGCATAGCTGAATTCGATGTATCGCAGCCGACTTACCCCGCTGTAGGGACGGTGGCAAAATCGACCTCTGCGGCTTCCTGTCGACGGCGCTTACTCCCACCTTCGCTGGTGGAGTAAGAGCGTCGATTCGGGGATCGATTGTCGCGTCCCGTTGGGACGCGATAAATCGATCCCCAAGAGATCGATTTCTACCCGCCGATTCAGGCGGGTAGTGTAGACCTAGCCTTAGTGTAGCCACAGTTATACTGGTATAAAAGCACCAGTAATAATAAGGTGCATCTTTCACTGCTGTAACTGCATCCATACTAAGGGGGTGGTACTGCTTTAACTTTACCAGTATAGTGAAAGCAGTACAACTTTTGTGTGTGAAGAAGCCCTCAATCCTTTCTCTTGGCCTGTGTAGATACAGGTTTACAAGGGCAAATACATTCCTAGTGGTTGCTAAAAAAGTATGTTTTGTACTAAATCATACAGAAACCTTATTGTTAAAAGAGAAGAGACATGGGATATTTTGGAGACAATAAAATGTATTTGATTTCCTATTCTTTTTTTACAATCGCTGCTGTTACTTTGAAACTCTTTTTGCAAATTTGCAAGAAATAAAAACAAAATCCAGAACTGTTCTTTTGCTGTTGTCAGGAAAAATGAATCCTAGTTTAGATGCAAAGGTATTAACTAGGCTGTAGAAAGAGTAATTATTGACAGTATAATATCTGTGTCAATCATAGTTGCACATGCATTTTACCACATAAAAGTGTACCCAAATAATTTAGTTTATACCAGATTGTATAGTTTGTACCTATTTCTTCTCAACAGCAAACTTAGAGAAACCATCAAGTTAATAGATTAAAATGACCATTAATATCTTAACAATTCCCCTTTCTGCTAGCTGTTATTTACAGCACTCCCAAGGTGCTCATGTTTATTTTCCAACCAAAGCAGACCAATTAATCAAATTTATCAAGAAAAAAACAAAGTGCAACTTTCTAACAGATTAACAATAAACCAGTGCATGACTGATATTATAGGAAATATCAAGCTTCTGTTTCCATACATATTTAAGTACCAAAGAGCATGCCAAAAATATTCCTGTATTCAGACCAGTATGATATTTAAAGGTATTTGATGAAAATTATAAACAAAAAAACCCTTACTATTTTGCAGAGAATCTTTGTCAGCAAGAAACATTCACTGAAAACAAGCTTCCCAAAGGACACCCCGCTGAGCAATTTGCTGGTCTACTTCATGGGTCTTCACCTGCATGTGACCCACCTGAAAATCCACTTCAACTGTATAGTAAAGCAAACCATTGCAGCGATCCACAGGAAAGCAGTTTAAACAAGAACACAGTACAACAGAGACAGCTACAGCAGGAAAACAACCCTGATCCTCCAGCTAAGAAAAAAAAACCACAAGTTGTAAACAGAACTATATTTCATACTAAAATTAATCCACTAGAAAATCATACATTGGTTGGCACAAAAACAAGAATAGGCGAGCAATGGATTATTACTACTGGGGGATTTGTGGAGCGAGCGTGCACACTTGGGAGGATTCGATCTTTGCCAAAGACACTGCTTGAAATGCATTTATCCAAAAATGTTTCAAAGTCTGACTCTAATCTCATCTCCTATCCACCTAATGGGAAAAAAGCAAGAAGCAACTGGAGTGAACCCACACCAAGCCAACAAAATTCTAAAGGAAATTCTGAAAGAACACCATCCTTCACTTCAGAATGGGAAGAAGTAAGTCTTTGATCACTTTACACACAAACAAATGCATAAAATTGTGAAGAAACTATTCTCTTATCAAAGTTACTGGGGGAAGAAATTATGAAGTGAATATGCCCAACAACAAATCCTCAGGGAATGTGTATCGTGGGGTAATACATAGTGGTTTGACAGCTGGGACAAAATGGAATCCACTTTTACTCTCAGTGCCAAACACTTAGTGGAGTCTATTGTTTCCATAGGAAATTAAGTCAACCAGAAGTAATCCTGTAACTTTCTGTGTTGTTCAGGAGAAAGCACATATTATATCCTACTAAACCTCTTCACTACTGGAATTTATAAACCTGATAAAATACCTTCACATTGATGCTCCTTGTTGCTATTTTTATGCTTGTTGATTATTTCCATTAGCCTCTTTAGGGCACCAGTGAATGCTCACAAGGGACAATAGAAAATGGCAGATATGAAAAATCTGTAGATCCCACTTTAAGTGGAACAAAACATGTTGAGTTTTCACAAGCCCTTGATGTATAACACATCCTCTGACAGTCAATCGCCCTTGTACACAGCACTTCATATATTCCTAGTCCTTACAGGAATGAGGGGTGTTGGAGGGGAGCTGTTCCTGGGGCTGTTTTGATTTAGGATGTGGGTATGCGTTAATGCTGCTTTTGTGGTGCGTTTGAAGGACATTTTTCTGTAGTTTCAGAATTTGGTTTAAAGTTTTCAATATTTTTATAGCGTCTTTACTCTAATTGAGTTTTTTCCTTGCTGCTGTGCCAAATGTTAAGCATATAAATTGTCCCCAGTAGACACTGAAGTTCCCATCTTATTGTGGTGAATGAGTTGGGAGAGGGGGACATTTGAAACTTTGCAACTGTTGTGTAGCTGCAGTCGCCTTTCTTTAAGGGTAGTATCTCTCCCCACACATACGCCCCCCCAATTAATGACCTATAAAGAAGGCATGAAAGGTGTGGAGGGACTTGGGAGTTTGGTTTGGTTTATTTTTTACACTTGTTTTTCAAAATTAGAAATTTTGTCCTATCTTTCCTGGAAGATTCTCTGACTAGTAAAGTGATGATATCACAAGATTCAAGAGGGTGAAAACTGAGCAGTTGAGAGGGGAAGGCCTTTTAGTCCCTGTTTAAAGATTCTTTTAAAAATAATGTTATCACCTATTTGATGTCAATGATTGACTAACATTATAGAGAGAGAACATTTTAGTTAAAGTTATGCCACCACTTCTTTTCAATTAAAATGTAAAAACTAACAGTGCATACCCTCAGAGATACCCATTAGCTTCTCTAGTAAAACCAAGGACAACAGAGATTGATATTCTAAAGCTTGTCTACATTCAGGTTTTGTTTGTTTGCTTCTTTTGCATACAAGGGTTTGAAACTGGGCTAAGCCATTTTCTGGTGCAGGTCATTTTTTACACCAGTGCACCTCTATCATCTACCCTCACTGTTTGCACTGTAATGCTACTACATGAACTAACTCCAGTGGAGACAAGCTCCAGGGTATTTAAAAATATTAAAAAGGCAAAAAAAAATTGAAAAGAACCCCAAAACTTTCACACGCTCCTTTTGTCTCAGAAAAAAACTCAATTTTTAAAAAGGTTATTGCAGGTCACTTTTACAGCTGATTTAATAGGGTCCCAACAAGGTGGCTTCAATTGTCAAGGCTATATCTTCTCAATGAAAAGATGCTTAGAGTCACATTATAATCTCAGTCACGGTATACATTTTAAGGAAATCATGAAGTTACTGAGATCAAAATTTGACCCTTTAAAAATGAAAACTTCATTTACCAAAAATTGTGTAGTGGTTCTAAAATTGCAGATGCTGGGATTTTTATATCATCACTCTGATTTTTCTCCTGTCACTGGTATTATCACATAGGAAAAAGTAGAATTCTTCTTTCCTAACATTAAATATATGAACAAACAAACAAAAAATTATTCTATTTCCAAACACTTTTTACTTATTGTCATCATGCTTTCTCACTTATTGTACCATGCCAGCCCTTGGACCCACTTTTTTGTTTTACGGTCTTTCTTGGAAGGGGGCAGGGGGAAGAATATAGGATTAAATTAATAAAGAATTCAAGGAGGGTATATAGTTAATCAAAATCAACATGGGTTTATTAAAAATAGATCCTGTCAAACTAACTTGATGTCTCTTTTTTATGAGATTACAAGTGTGGTTGAGATAGGTAATAATATTGATGTAATATACTTCTGTAAGGGGTTTGACTTGGTGCTGCGTGACATTTTGTTTTAAAAACAACAGCAATTTAAAATTAAAATGGAACACATTAAATGGATTAAAAGCTGGCTAACTGGTAGATCTCAAAATGTCATTTAGCGGGCGTGTTTCTAGTGGGGACTGGGTCATGGCTCTATGCCCTTTAACATTTTTATCAATGATCTGAAAGAAAATATAAAATCATCACTGATAAGATTTGCAGATGACATAAAAATTGGGGAGTGATAAATAATAAAGATGACAGGTCACTTATACATAGTGATCTGGATTGCTTGCTAAATTGGGCGCAAGCAAACAAGGTGTGCTTTAATACTGCTGAATGTATACATGTAGGAACAAAGAATGTAGGCCATATTTACAGGATAGGGGACTCTATTCTGGGAAACAGTGTGAGGTTCTTACCCACGAAAGCTTATGCTCCCAATACTTCTGTTAGTCTTAAAGGTGCCACAGGACCCTCTGTTGCTTTTTAGTGTCTCTGAAAAAGATTTTGAGGTTATGGTGGATAATCAGCTGAACATGAGCTCCCAGTGCAACACTGTGGCCCAAAGAGCTAATGCAATAATTGGATGCATAAATAGGGGAATTTCACATAGGAGTAGAGAGGTTATTTTACTGCTAGAATACTATGTCCAGTTCTGGTGCCCACAATTCAAGAAGGATGTTGATAAATTGGAGAGGGTTCAGAGAAGAGTCACGAGAATGATTAAAGGACTAAAGAACATACCCTATAGTGATAGACTCAAGGAGCTCAGACTATTTAGCTTAACAAAGAAAAGATTGTTACAGTCTATAAGTACCAACATAGTGAACACATATTTAATAATGGGATTTTCAGTCTAGCAGAGAAATCTATAAAACAATCCAGTGGCTGGAATCTGAAGCTAGACAAACTGAGACTGGAAATAAGGCATTTTTTAAATTAATTAATCAGTGGAACAATTAACCAAGGATTGCCATCACTAGCAATTTTTAAATCAACATTGGATTTTTTTTTCTAAATGATATGTTTTTGGAATTATTTTGGAGAAATTCTCTGGATGGCTTGTGTTATACAGGAGGTCAGACTACAGGATCACAGTGGTCCCTCTGGCCTTGGAATCTATGAAACTAGTAAAAACTTATAAATTAACAAATGTGCAAAGGCATCTTGCGAGGAATGCAATATGGCCTCACAACTCATATCACGCCACAGCACAATTATATTTTCCATCAGTAGGCTTGGAAAAACAAACAAATAAATAGAGGATTCAGAAAATTACCCTACAATTTTAAATGAACAAGCAAGGTGATGCTTAATAACCCAAACCAATATCTCTATCCATTAGTGTGACAGATATGTCAATTTCCTGCAATATCTTTGGGAGATCTTACTGTATTAAGTTTACATATCATTGTGGGCCAGGGATTTTTTTTTTATTATTTTTATGTTTTCTGTGTAATGCTTTTTACCTTAAGAATACCTGTGCTTATTTATACTGGTCCATGGGGTGATTTATTACCACTGTCAATTACACTGTTCATAAGCCTTCAGAGAGAAAGCAAAGCACAGATGCTGGCCTCTTTAGGCATTCTGGCTTGCTGAGAATATCACAGTGTAGGCAAGGAACTGTACAGTCTGGAATAGCCACAGTGAAGTGGGAAAGAGAGGCAGGTCTCCACGCAAGAGAGGTGACAGCTGAGGAGCCAATAGCCTATAATGGGTGTCATGGACTAACAATTAGCATTGCTGTTTATATAGTGCACTAATGGTTTACAAACATCATCAAACAACTCGGTGCTTCATTGCAGCCTACAAATTAAGTTCCCATTTCATAGATTATAAAGGCAAAAGGGGCTATTGGGTTCATCTAGTCTGACTTCCTATATAACACAGTTCATAGAACTTCCCTGAATTAATTCCTTAATAAATTCAAGCATATTTTTTAGAAAATATTTAATGATTTAAAAATTGCTAGTGATGGAGAATCCATCTTGGAAAGTTGATCCAAATGGTTAATTATTCTCACTGCTCAAAATTTGTGTCTTATTTCCAATCTGAATTGGATCTTGTTATACCTTTGTCTGCTACACTGAGGAGTCTATTATCAAATTTTTGTTCTTATAAACTGTGATCAATTCACCTCTTAGCCTTCTGTTTGTTATGCTAAATTGTCACCATTTATATATCTTAACTTATTCATTATTTATATTACATACATCTAAAGTATGACAAAGTAGTTGAAAATATACTGATACGGTTATATGTGAATAGGAGTTTGTGAATAGGAAAATAAAAAGGAAAAATAAAAATTCAACTGTGAAGAAATTGGCCTTTACATTTTTCTTTGCGATCTTCTTGATTGTATTATTGTTTTTTATAACAATAATAATGCCCTAGTTTCTCTGCTTGAAAAATTGTAATAAAATACAATAGATGAGTTTGAGATATTTTTCCTGCTTTCTCTTTTGCAGATTGATAAAATAATGAGTTCCATAGATGCTGGAATTAACACTGGGCTAGAGGAGATGAATGATGATACTGCAGGTAAGAAAGAAAATCTTTCTTTTCTTTTCTAAATATTGCTTAATAAGCTTGCTTTTAGGACCCCTAGGAAAATTGGTGATAGAATTCTGCTAAGTAACCCAATATGTTGAAATCATCTTATATTTATTTTAATACCAGTGGACAGAATTCATTTCATTCACTTTCACAGATGCAGTATGCCAGCTATTCCAGAATCATCACTGTAAATGGCATATTGGAATCATTAATGTTGTTTTGAAACCTTAGCAGAGAAAAAGTTATTGTCTTCAATAGGGAAAAAATTTAAAACTCATTCAGATGAGTCTGTTGTCGTCAATGTTGGGATCCCTAGTGTAGACAGCCCACCAGCTGGTGACACTGTTTTAAGCACCATGTTATCTAACCCTGCTTGAAGCAAATCTTCGACACTGCCAAAAATGGTTCTGACAGCTTGTGCTGACAGAGACTGGTGTTAGCAACAGTGGGAAATTTTTCAAACTTTTCCCAGTATAGACAAACCTGAGGTATCTAAGTCATAGCTACCATGTTGACATGTCAGTATAAATCTATGTTACTGAGCTGAGAGATCAGATTTTAGAAATTATTTATCATTTCAACTCCCAATGCTGGTGGAAGAAAGAGTTGCATGGGGAGTAATTTGATCTTTGGGAAAGAGCTTGGTGCCACACCACTGTTGGAAAATCCCTGTTAGCTCTTTCATGGCGTAACACGTGCCTGTATTGGGCAGGGATTATGCATTTTATCATTTAGGTAAAATAAAACAGAGTATTCCAATAGCTAGCTATTTCATGGAGCAATACTGGTGTCTATACTAGAGAAGACTATGCAGCTTATTAATTAGGCAGAAGTAATTGCTAGTCAGTAAAAAGGAAATCTGGGAAAATAACAGACTTGAATGCAAATATGGTTACAAAAAAGTACATGGCACATGCAGATTTGTTTCTGGAAGAGAATGATCAGTATGGTGGGAAAACCAGGAAGGTGAAATTAAGAGAGACTGAAAAGGCATGTTGTGCTGACTTTCTAGAATTTGTATTGCTCTTAAGCAGAATTATGGGTAGAGGACCTCTAGACAAGGAATTGTTTCTTAAGCCATGGTAAGGCTTCTCCAGCCAGGATGACAATGATTGTTATTAGTTTGGACTATAGTAGCACTCAGAGACCTCAACCAAAATCAGAGCCTCAATATGAAGAAACACAAGAAAAGGGATGGGGGTGGGGGGGCTAGGGGAAAGGGAACAACAAAAGAAATGCTAAAAGGCACATAAGGTTACATAGCTTCATTATATGCAGATAGGCTCCCATCACTTCTTGTGACCAGACGTTCATTTTCCCTGTGATTTTTTTTAAACTGTCAGGTAAGCCTCCCAATAATTCTAGCCATCGAGCACGTGCTTTATGCCTTATCAGTGGCCATTATGTTCCATACTCTTTCCTGACACTCACATGTGACATTTGGTTCTCCAGCCCTTTCAACTGGCAGGAGATCTACTGTGTTGTTCACTCTTCTGTTCCAAAAGAGCCTCTGTGGGTCTCAGCTTCCTTCCTTTCAGTTTGCAGCTGGCTGACAACTCAGCTTTTCCTGTACCACCTTTTCCTTTATCAGTGTAAGTTCAGCTGAGCTCCATTATATAATTCCACCATCAGTGAAGAATCAGAAGTATACAAATGAACAAAGTAAGACTATATTTTTCTAATCTAACCATCTTTAATGCAAACAAAGCTCCCTTTAAAGAAGTGCCAGTCTCTTTCAGAGCTTGCTACAAACAGCATCACCATTACAATTTTCACTTTATAAGAATTCTCTGTAGTAACTGAGAGCTTTCTCCATCTAATGTCCCATCACCAGCTGTTAGCAGTTGCAGATCAGCTACATGTCATAGGCAGTTGCATCATACCATCATCTCCTTAAACTTATCATGCTCAGTCTTGAAGCCAGGTAGGTTTTTTGCCCCCACTGCTCTCCATGGAAGGCTGGTCCAGAACTTTACTCCTCTGACATTTAGAAATCTTTGTCTAATTTCAAGCCTAAATTTGTTGATGGCTAGTTTATATCAATTTGTTCTTGTGTCAACATTGATGCTCTCCCTCCCTGGTATTTATCCCTCTGATGTGTTTATAAAGAGGAATCATTTCTCCCCTCACCCTTCTTTTGGTTAGGCTACACAAGTCAAGCTCTTTGAGTCTCCTCTCATGAGGTAGGTTTTCCATTCCTCGGACCATCCTAGAAGCCTTTCCCTGCACCTGCTCCAGTTTGAATTCACCTTTCCTTACACAGTACATTTGAAAAAGACTTCAGCTAGATAAGGTTACGCTTTTTAAAACACATACACAGAAAGAACATTGTTTGATTTACCTGCATCTTAGAGGGCTGTGATAATAGCACCTTTTCAAGAAATACCAGTGTACAAGACAGAAACTCCTCTAAAATCAAACAGCTGGCTTTTATTGTCATGCGTCAAAGAATGCATGCAGGGAGAGAGCCATCTAAAAAAGGAGTAAAGGGGAAAAAACTAGTTTAGCAGGGAGAATTCATCACAGAATCATCTTGTATATCCAAAAAGCATATAAAGAAGCAGCAAGATCTCAGTGATATTAAATAGTTCTTATTACATACTCTAACATTTCCAAGATCTTTCTTTCTTACTTTTACTTATTTTATTTATTTATTTATTTATTTATTTATAGTTGATATGATATGATTAAATCTTTTAAAGCTATTATATCTGAATGAGATTTAATTTGAATGCTAGCAATATCTTCTACTTTGGCCTGTCTCTTTGCTCTGTTTTGTGTAGCTCCGATCACAACAAGGTGCTCGTCTGTGGCTGGGGCTACTAGGCCCAGTAATACAGTAATACAAATAATAAATAATTAGAGATGAGTGAAAATTTTCAGACAAATAGTTTATTCATCAAACAATGCAGTTTCAGGTTGACTGAAACTTTTTGCAGATTAGTGTCGAGTTTGCCAGATGTTTGAGCTGAACCAAAAAAGTCAAATTTTTTCAGTAATGTCAAAATGAAATGTTTTGTTTTGACCCCAAAAATTTAGATTTTCAGGTGTTTTGACAAGAACAAAGCAAAGAATTCCCAAAACAGCTGGAGGAAGACGTGGTGTTGCAGCTGCTTTCCTTATAAGCTTTACAGCAGTGGATCGAGTGTGGGAATATGACTCTACAGCTTCGTAGTTAGGGCACTCACCTAGAATGTTGTAAGAAACCCAAGTTCAAGTCATGCACAAAGGTAGAAGAAAGCCATCATGTCTTTCCTCTCCCACTCCCAGATCCTGCACTGAACACAGCTCAAGCCTATATTTATATAGGAAAATTAATATAATACTAAGTGACAATTGTTTTATATAATCTCATATTTTAAAATAGTGAATTTTCTAAATTTCATTGATGTAGCAAGTCTCCTGTAGTTTTATTTAAATGTCTTTGTAAGAGAGTTATAGAGATGCAGACTGAAAATGATGAATTACTATTTAGAGTTCACTGTAGAAGTCAGAAAGATTTCTGCGAATGTTACGTTCATTTGTTTAAAAGTGGTTAAGTTATTTTGTATAATTTTCAGGAAACATCAGTTTTCTTTTCTAGTAATTTAATTTAACAATCAATAAACATTCAAATAATATACACTCTGAAATGTAATATGAAATGGTACACTTCATTTTTATTTGTCTTCATTTATTAGTATGATATGGTATTTTCAATATATGTTAGTAGCGACAGCAGTTAAATGAAATTTACACACACATACACTTGGTTTAACAAGTATGAAAAGGTTTTTGATATTGCATAGTATCTCACTTTCATTGAATGATATTTTTGTGTATGAAATATATGACTTGCATTAATAATAGAATGGCTAAATATAAATCTGTGCTGTGATGATTATTATGATAACGTGAGTTAACTGCAGCCAATCTAGAGGTGGAGTTTAATCAACTAAACAGCTGTTTTTTATTTTTGGCAGACAAGATACTTAAATTTGATTAGTAATATACATCCTGCAAGTCTTTAGAAAAGCAAATAAGCTGAAATATCAACCATCTGCACTTCCCTGTAAAATAATAATAATAAGGTTCAAATTCACATTTTCTTTTGCCTGATTATACGCACATTTTTCTACATAATTTTTTCTTTCAAGGAGTGCAGAGTAGTGTTTCCAGATTAATGAGAGATTCATGGTTGCCCAGCAGCAATGCAGAGATATGGGGCTCAGAGTTTGTTTATTTCTGAAAGTTACTTGAAAGGGAATAACTAAGAGACTTAGCCACTTTGGGGAGAAATGACTCTTGAACACAAGGAATAGGAAGTACATCATACTAGAAATTAGAATGCTTCAGGGATCTAGTATTTAAATGAGTGATGAGTTAGGCTAATCCTGGATGGTTCCACATCAAAGCAAGTTTGAAGAACATAAGAATAGCCATAGAGGGTCAGACCAGTGGTCCATATAACCTAGTATCCTGTCTTCCAACAGTGTCTGGTGCCAGATGCTTCAGAGGGAAGGAACAGAACAGGGCAGTTTATAAAGTAATCAATCCCCTGCCATCCAATCCCAGTTTCTGGCAATCTGAGATTTGGGGACACGCAGAGCATGGGGTTGCGTCCCTGACCATCTTGGCTAATAACCATTGATGGACCTATCCTCCATGAACTTATCTATTTTTTTTAACTCAGTTATGGTTGTGGCCTTCAGAACATCCCGTGGCACTGAGTTCCACAGGTTGACTGTATGTTGTGTTGAAGAAGTACTTCCTTCTGTTTGTTTTAAACCTGTTGCCTATTGATTTCATTGGGTGACTTCTGGTTCTTATGTTAGGTGAAAGGGGTAAATAACATTTCCCTATTCACTTTCTTCGCACCATTCATGATTTTATAGACCTCTATCATATCCCCCATTAGTCGTCTCTTTTCTAAGATGACCAATCCCAGCCTTTTTTAATCTTTCCTCATATGGAAGCTGTTCCATACCAGTAATCATTTTTGTTGC